TCATGCCCCCTGCGCATGCACGGCACAGATCCGAAGACCAGCTGGCCAGCGGAAGGCGTGCACACTGGAGCTGGGCTGGGGCAACAGCTGCCATGACCTCAGAGAGGACTCTGTGTGCCACCAGTGGCACGTGTGCCATAGGTTCACCATCAAAGCCTTATGTTAACCTTTTGGGTTTATTTTTTTCGTTATCAAATATAATGCAATCCATTTTGCATTTGGAATCTTCTGCTAGCATATCTGTATGTTCCAACTATTTGTGATCAGTATTTTGTACATGTCATTTTGTGGTTCTTGATCTTTGGATGTTGGAATGCTAGAGACCAGGGATTTGTTATATCTTTTTAGCTTTGGAGCTAATACTGTTAAATTATTGTTTGGATCCTTTCCAATGGCTTCTGCTTTTAAGGTGGGTTTTCTATGATGCTTTGAAGTAAAATTTAATGCATGGTCTTCAGGCACAAACAATCTTCATTGTGATGATACTATTCTCATTTATATCTGCAGTGCAAGTGTTTGAGATACTGTATTTTTGACACTGTTATACAACTTTTCTGGGCTGCCTTTTTTCATCCAAGTGAATTTTTTTTCAAAAGACCTTTTTTGACAATTTATCCAACTAATGTCTATGACATCAATTGGATAAAGATCAAGGCTTCTTATAAATAAAAACTGAAGCATTTTAAATTTTGTATTAAAAACTTACATTTCAGCACTTTTTTGAAACCCCACCAAGCTTGGCCAATAATTCCAGAATTCATATTTATTAAAAGTAATGACAAGCTCCTAATAACTGCACTGGGGAAATGTGCCCCTTCTGACATTATTATGATTAGTTGTCAGCCAGACATTTAGACTGGATTTGGCATGTTTAGCCAGATGTATATCCACTATGGAGTTTTCCCAAGGACCTGAAATAGACAAACATACTTTTTTTTATTGTGTTAAGGGTATCAATGATATAAGTTGTTCTAAGTAAAACCGTTTCTTGCAATTGACTGGTAGTGATTTTGTCAATGCCAATTGTATTCGAATGATGCTCCAGATGTTTTGGAATTGCAACTAAGGTGCCTACTACTATTGATACCATATTTGCTTTCTTTTGCCATAGTCATTCTAGTTCTTGTGATGATGATGATGATGATGATTATTATTATTATTATTATTATTATTATTATTATTATTATTATTATGTTCTAATTCCTACTTCAGTCCGCCATATAATAAACTTAAAGCTTCTTTCACATAATAACTGCATTGAATGACTGCACCTTTGTGAAACCGCAAGATTCTATTTTTAAGTAATATGTGCTGCTAATCAAAAATTGATTTTATCACTGCTCTGAGATTTTCAGTTCAGTTCAGAGTGTCTGCCCTTTTGTGGTACTGTAGAATAATGTTACTCCATTTCTAATTCTTTTTTTGCCAGAGGCTGACACACAATTCGTTCAATGTCATAACAACTTTTAAATGAAGGGTTTGGGTATAAAATAAAAGATACTTTTCCAGCCTATTTTAAAAGAAATAAGTACATTTTTGTCAGAGATAGAGAACCAGTTTAACAAAGTGATTAAGGTATCAGGGTAGAAACCA